TAGAGATGGGGTTTCACCATGTTGGCCAGGCTGGTATCAAGCTCCTGATGTCAAGTGATCTGCCCACCTCAGCCTGCCAGAGTGCTGGAATTACAGGCATGAGTCACCATGCCTGGCCCAAAAACTATTTTTTTAAATAAAAAGTAATACATTTGTTACAGGAAAATGAGAAAACATAAGTGTGCTTTTATGTTTGATTTATTTTTAAAGGTCATTCAGGATTGATACAGCAAGTATCAAAGAATAAGCTTTCCAACATGGTAGAAGTGAATTAAGTGACCAATAATCTGCTTAGGAGTTACTCTTTGTATATTATTTTTGTTGTTTGGTGTGACTCCCATTTTATTTGCATACCCAGTTTAAGTTAATGGAAGCAGTTTGTTGGGATTATTATATTTTTCCCTCACTACCATAAGAATATTTCTTCATTTAAATTGAGATAGATAATGATTTGATTTTTCTAATAGGAAAACTTTAGAAATGAAATGTTAACTTTTTCTCAGTTATTAAATTTGATTTCCCCCTTCTCATTAATGCAGCTCTCAAGAGGCAGAATTTATATAATAATCCTTTCAACTCTGTGAGTTACACAAGTCCTTACAGTCCAAATGCCAGTAGCCCATACAGCAGTGGCTTCAATTCTCCATCCTCAACCCCAGTGCGACCTCCTATAGTCAAACAGCTTATACTTCCTGGAAATTCAGGTAAGGAAGAAATGATATAGAGTCATTAAGGAATGTTTTTCAGCTTACTGTACTGTTCCAGGAAATAACATTCATCTGCAGTTCAAGTTCATTTTATTTATGAAACCTTTAACTGGTTAAAGAAAATATTATTGCAGAGCAACTTTGCACCAGGTACTATATTAGGCACCAAGGGTGTAAACATAAGCCAGTGTGTTAAATACATAAATTTTCTTTAGCATGTATCTGAAAGTTTTTAAGTCTGGCTTAATTAAATGGGGTTACAAATGTGATTCTTTTAATCAATAGACCTTATTGAGCAGCCTTCTTGGGTTGTAAAAACTAGAGTTAAAACCTCTTTTTAGGAATTTTAATAAACTTGGATACTGCAGCTAAATAATAATATAAGGTTAGATGTGAAATACCAAAAAAGTAGGAGGGGCAGTAAATGATGTGGGAACGCCAGATGGCTGTAAACCAGGGAAAGAATGTTCTGCTCTGGTTCTGTGTGTGAGACTGTTACTGTGTAGCTTACTCTTCAAGAATTCACCCATTAATTTACCCTTATTGTCACTGCAGCTGTTTTTATGACTATTATAACTTCCTTAAAAATTAAGGTTAACCCTCTCAAATTTTGACCTGTGCACTCCGTAGTCTAATGATCCTGCTCTTTGCTTAGTATATAGGTTGTTATTTGCCACTTACTTCAAACTAAGACAATATGTTAAAAAGTTTAACCTGCAATATTTGTTTAAAATAAGTAATTTGATTCAGGCATTATTTGAACCTGACCTTGTAGAACTTTTCCTGTCATGTGTACTCTGCTATTCTTTCATTAATAGTGTGAAGATGAATTATTTTTTATTTTTCTTGCTCTCCTTACATACTTTTCATGTTGGAGCTGACTGTTATGGTGAAGAATTCTGGCAAACAAGTGTTTCAGATAAATCTGTATTAGAAATATTAATGCCAGTGTTGGGATTTTATTATTTAGTAAAATTTGATGAACTGATGAAAGTATTTCATTAGAAACAAGTTAGATTTTTTTGGATGTGTGTATTCTTTATTTCTGTGGCCTGCTTACTGTCTAACTTTTGGTTTATAATGATAAAGTACTTTTTAAAAATAATATATATATTTTATTGCATTTTAGGTTCTGGGGTAGATGTAAGGAACATGCAGGATTGTTGCATAGAATGATAAAGCACTTTTTATAAATCTAGTCTTTTTTTTTTTTATCCCATGTTTTATGCTTCACTACTAAACTTTAGAGAACCCCTTAGATCCTCATTAGTAATTTAGCAAAGGAATTTTGTAAACATGGCATAATGTAGGAGAAACAAGCCTCATGGTCTTTGTTCCTAAATCTCTAAGGAATCTAATATTCTTCAAATTATAGTTTTCTTGTTTAAAAAAAGTAAATGCTTTTATTCAGGGAAAAGATGATGGTGTTTGTTTATGACTGTGAATTTGGGAGAAGAAAACACTACATCACAAACTCATCTATTTATAGAGCAGTTTGATTGGCTATCTTGTGCAAGTTGAAATCCTTAACATATAGTTACTGAACACTAGTTACTTGCCAGGCACTGTGTTGAAAGATGAATTGTTAAATAAGAGAATAGATAAGTTATACTTAGATGAAAAGATGTTTTGTATTTATGCCATAGCATGTAAAGTAGTATGTATTAGTGTATATAATAGGTTCTCAATAAACCTCATTTTTCTTAAGGAGGTCAATTTCTAATTTCAGGGGAATTTTTTAAGGAGAAAAGGCAGAACGAGAATGAATTAAATCAAAGGATATAATATCAAGTTAATTGCAGTAGGCATTTATTCAATAGTTGCTCTACCAAAGTGTGAATTTTTTTCTTTTTTTAAAGGTAACTTGAAAAGCTCATCAGACAGAAATCCTCCACTCAGTCCTCAGTCCTCTATAGATAGTGAGTTAAGTGCTTCAGAATTAGATGAAGATTCAATTGGATCCAATTATAAGCTAAATGATGTAACTGATGTACAGATTCTAGCCCGGATGCAGGAAGAAAGTAAGTATTCTAATTAATTGTTGAAAGTTGAGATTTTTTTTACTATTGCATAATTTTGTTGTGTATTTAAAATGTCTTAAAGTGTCATGGGGATAGTAATGTAGTGAAAGTAGAAATGTTGCCGTAGACATTGCAGAGGCTTAGTCAACATATGTACATGTTTATTCATTAACTTGTTTTCAGAGTCCATTTTTACATAGAGCAGTTATGCTGCATGAGGGACAAAGAATAGCATTTATGCTGCTCTGCTTCTGTGACTGGTATTCATTCTCTGCATGTTACTCTGCACTGGCAGTCACTCGTAATTGTTATCTATCACCCTGTGTTCTTTAGTGTAAACCAGCGTTTCTCAATTTTTTCTTTTTAGTTGCTCCCCTAAGGAGCCTTTTAAAAAACTTTTTTTCCTTTTCACCCCCACTCCCCATGAAATCTTAATACCACAATATATACACTATATCTGTTTAAGTACTATGAGGGCCATATACAATTATGACAGCTAAGAATTTTTTCGCACCCCAAGAACCAGTTTTTGCCCTCTTGGGAATAAATATCTCCTCACTTGAGAATACATGGTATAAACTATAAAAAAGACCTTTAGGAGAAAATTGGAATTGTGACATTAAATTAAATGAAGCATGTGATGGTATGTTGCAGAGGGAACCATGGAAACTTTAGGTGGCAGATTCCTTTGAGACTCCTATAAAAATTATGACTCCTTTTATCACCAAAATGTACATATGCACAGAATTTTTAATACTTTTTAGAGGGTTCATGGCTACTTGCCCTGGTCATCATTTGAAAGTAGTTATTCTTGCCTATGCATTTCATTAGGAGATACCATCTGCTTAACTGTGAAGTAAAACATTTCTCTAAAGTAATCTCTTTAACCTTTACAATGAAAAGAATCCTTGAAATACATATTTTAGAGTCTTGACAGTTGGCTGAGGGTAATGAAGCATTGCTAAGATTTAGTTCAAAAACTTTCTGTTGTCTGTGTATATAATAGGTTCTCTTTAAATATGTAGTAAGCTTTATCAAGCTGCAGCATTTTAAGAAACTAGAGTGTTTCTTACTGTGCTGATTCACTTCCCCTAGAAAGATAGAGAAGGACTTAGTGCTTGCTTTATTTAACCCTACAACCTAATAGCATAGTACTCTTTTCTTCTGTAATTTTAATTAACTCCTCACTGAGACCGTGGTATTGTCAGCTGGTTAGGGTCTGGTTATTGTTGTGGATGTGAAAAAATAAAGAATGCTGCCTAACTCTATACCTTAGAATAATTCTCTCATTTCTTTGAACCCTGGCTTTTTAGATTCTAGTATCTTGTTACAAGCTCAACCAGATCTTTGCTCTTGGTTTTGTATTGTGTTTTGGTAACAATAGAAATTTTAGTCTTGTTTTAATAATTTTTTCTAAGCCATTCGCATTCATGAATATTTATTTTCCTGGTGAATAAAAATAATAATAAAAATATATGTGATACTTCCTTGAAAACTACAGCTTCCCCTCCTCCCCCCCCCACAATAGAGGTGATTTTCCTTTTTACAGCATTGTTTTTTGTAATAATTAGAAATGTAGAATTACAGATTTAGGCAGTTGCCTGGTCAAGGTCTTTCATTTTTAAGATGAAAAATGCAAGATCCTGTAGTGATTGTGACTTCCTTAGGATCCACTTGTTAGGAGAACCTACATCGGGAACTGGATTTTTCTTTTCTAACAGTGCTCTTTTCACTGGTCTGTTGTCTTTTGTTAGGTGGCTTTAGTGCCACGTTGGCTATAACTAGACACTAAGTAACTTGTTGGTTGCTATTTTGGTTCCCAAACTGAATGAAGGGCTAAGTGGACTCTAGGAATTTATAGTTTTAAAGATACCCTAGGGTGATTCTCATCTACTAGTTTGATGAACCATGTTAATAATAGCACTTTCTGTGTGTGAATGCAGGACTTAAGGATTTGAATACCACTTTATAACAGATCTTTTTGACTAGAGTGCCAATAGTTAGCAGGACGTGCTGAGAGTATTACCTAAATTCTATACTTCTGCATTGCAGTTTGTTTCCTCATTGAATATGTTCCATATCAACTTTTTTTCTGTTGTTCTAGAAGCATCTATACTCCTTGAAGTACCCCCAGGGTTGCTGGGGTATTTTTGAAGGTATCAAGCTATATAGGAGAATTCTTTGAAAATTCTTACTCGAAGACTTAGAATTTAAGCTTGAAAACAAGCTTAAAACAATAAAAATTGAAGTCTCTTGAGTAATGAAGCAATCAAGATTTCCTTTGTGCCCAAGTACTGAATTCCTAAAAGTGGGTTAGGTGTTTGTTTGCTACTTTATCCTTTTCATGAGTAAGATTACTTCAATAATTAAGTATCCAAGGAGTTTTATTTACTCACATATGTATTCTTTTCCACTGGTTGGATGGTAATTGTTTCCCCTAAATATTCCTTTAATATTACTCTCAAATTTGGATTACTATCTTTAGGGGTAGACATATTTTTAAATTTATGATTCTACCATGTGAGACAGATTTCAGATTTAAGAAGAAATCTGGAAATTGGGCAGTGGTTTATGGGATTTCATTTAATTTAAAAATAACCTTCAGATGTGGTTTATGCATCCTTATATGGGAGGATGTCTAAAAGCAGAAAGGGAGTTTTTTTTTTTTAAACACTTTACACCCTGTTCGAATTGCTCAGTGATAATCTTTTACTTTAAAAATATTTAAATGTCTAAAAATATAATTTAAATAAATAACATTCATTGTTGCCAGGTCTCCGGCAAGAATATGCAGCCACCACGTCTCGGCGCAGTTCTGGTTCTTCTTGCAATTCTACAAGACGGGGTACTTTTAGTGATCAGGAACTTGATGCACAAAGTTTAGATGATGAAGATGACAATATGCATCATGCAGTATACCCTGCTGTTAACAGGTTTTCACCATCACCACGCAATTCACCTCGACCGTCACCTAAGCAGTCACCCAGAAATTCACCTCGTTCACGATCTCCTGCTCGGGGAATAGAATATAGTAGAGTGTCCCCACAGCCTATGATTAGCCGCTTACAGCAACCTCGCCTTTCACTTCAAGGCCATCCCACAGATTTACAGACAAGCAATGTTAAAAATGAAGGTAAAACAGCATATTTTACTGTTAATTAGATAGTTTCTGCTGGCCTGTGCAACAACATAGCAAGACCCCATCTCTAGGAAGAAATTAATTGGCTGGGCATGGTGATGTGCATCCATAGTCCTAGCAACTTAGGAGGCTGAGGCTGGAGAATTGGTTGAGCTCAGGAATTCGAAGCTACAGTGAGCTATGATCACACCACTGCCCTCCAATCTGGGCAACAGAGCAACACCGTGGTTTTTTTTTTAAAGTGTCCTTTGTATTTTATTATGAAAGTAATACAATTTTTGCCAAGCTTTTGTATTTCAGATAAGTAAATCAAGAGTTTAGTAAAGTTTACTATTTTATTAATAGTGAATCATTACAAGAATAAAGGAGAAAGTGAATTTCATTTTACTTGATTATGTTATTTTTGCTTTGTTTTCTTATGAAGTTATTTGTATTTAGATTTTGATTTAAATATATGATTTGTGGTTATCTTTAAGGGTTCTCTTATTCTACCCACTTACAGATCCTAGATTGAGTTTTTGTTTTGTTTTGTTTTGTTTTTTAAATAAGACAAGTCCTACTTGTTTTCTCATCTAAAATAAACAGAATATTTCGCCTGGCGTGGTGGCCCATGCCGGTAATCCCAGCACTTTGGGAGGCCGAGGCGGGTGGATCACAAGGTCAAGAGATTGAGATTGTCCTAGCCAACGTGTTGAAACCCTGTCTATACTAAGAATACAAAAATTAGTTGAGCATGGTAGTGCACGCCTATAGTCCCAGCTACTCCGGAGGCTGATGGAGGAGAATTGCTTGAACCTGGGAGGTGGAGGTTGTAGTAAGCCGAGATTGTACCACTGCACTTCAGCCTGGCAACAGAGACTACATCTCAAAATAAAAGTAAAAATGTTAAACAGTATAATTTTTCAATGCTAATTAATATTTTAATTTTCTCCATCTGAAAGAATGATTTGATTTTTTAAAAAATTTTTAATTACAATTCTATTGCAGAAAAACTAAGACGCAGTCTTCCAAACCTGTCCCGAACATCTAATACACAAGTTGACTCAGTGAAAAGCAGCAGAAGTGACTCAAATTTTCAAGTGCCAAATGGAGGAATACCTCGCATGCAACCTCAGGCTTCAGCCAGTAAGTATCCTTCTTCTGCTTTCATGTATCAATTATTTAAAGAGAAATGAAAATTTTGTTTTGTGCTGAAAAATTTTTTAAACTATAGCTGTAGTAAAATTTAGTGTTTATTAGTTGCTGGATGATAAAGTTATATTACAGTTTTAAATTTTCTGTGTAGGATACTTGATTCTGCCAGTACGTATATCTATAAAAAACTTTGTTCTCTCCAGAATTTTAAAATAAGCAAAGTGTAACTATTAAAAAAGTAGGTGTAGCTTCTGCATATAACTATTAGAAGAGGAAATACCAGTGTATCCAAAATCCATGTCCCTTCGTAAGTACTTAAATTTTCTTTAATAACCTGCACTTTAAAAACACCTGAAAGTTTGATTATTACATAATTTTTGAGTCACACTCAAAATAATCAAGTCATTGTTTAAACCTGTAGTATATTAAATCTGTTATCAAAGTTGGATTGTTGAAGTTGTTCTTTTCTTTCCAGAACGGAAGTATACCAGGAGAACTCTTGGATGCCCTCGTTTTATTTCTGCATCTGTTGAGTTAAAATTTCTAGTTTTGATTTAATTTTCTGTGTCTGCTAAGGCTATTTTAATGAAAAATACAATATTGAATCAATATGTATGTCAAATTAATCCATAATCATCATCCTACTTATAGATTAAAATTTGAGATAAATTGCCAGAAACCATCACTTTTTAAGAATTGGTCAGGACTTTTCTATTTAAATTATCTTTCAGAAAAAACGTTCTTAGAGTTTAAACTCTTAAACAGAGGAGGTGAATTTTAGAACTAATAGTAGAAAAAACACATGTAGATTATAATTTTTAATAAGTTTTGGTCATTGGATGGAAACTAACCCCTGGATGTGACAGTGTTTTTAATTCAGCTATGGTTTGTAATAAATACTTGAGTTGTTATTTTGTGGCAAGTAGTACGATAAGCGAATACAGGCACGTCTGCTGTAGCACAAAATATACATTCTTTAAAAACCTCACATTCTGCAGTATTACACAATAACAGTGATAGATGGTGGGGGATGGGGGAAATAGTACTGGAGCATACCACTGAAAACCCAAGCAGTTTTTTTTTTTTTTTTTTTTTTTAGACGGAGTTTCACTCTTGTTACCCAGGCTGGAGTGCAATGGCGCGATCTCAGCTCATCGCAACCTCCGCCTCCTGGGTTCAGGCAATTCTCCTGCCTCAGCCTCC